AAGCTATGTTTTTTCCCATTAAAACATCATATAGTAAGCAACTTTGTTTCACATTACATTACAATCTGCTTAAGCATACAAACACAAACAGGCATCTACTTGTATAAGCACACACAAATATATACAAACACAAAAAGAGGACTTCCTAAATTTTTGTTAGCTTGAAATCAAATATTAGCAGTCTGTGAGGTCAATGGAAGCAAATCTAAGTAGATTTCATTTAATTCTTACCCTTCTCTCTTTACACTTCATCATTAATGCTGCTTTCTTTTACTATTACTGTTTTGCTTTTCTGAAAAAGTGATGTTGAATATTGTCTCTGTTCAATGCAATTATTGAAAGAGTATTCTGCAATATCTTTGTTTGATTTTCAGATATTTGTATTCATCCTTTTGTAGCCTTCTTAAAAACGACAAGATCTAGAAATCTACATTAAGGTGGGACTGACAAGTAATAGCTCAACAACCAAGAGTCAGGGCTAAGAACAAGGCTGGTCAGTTCACATTATTTCTAAGTAATGCCAAATCTTCAACTACCAAAAACTGGCCCCCTGGTAGAGTCAACTGGGAAGCTGAGGATATGGAAAAATTCCATATAGGATGTTAAATTTAAAGTAGAGCAAGAGGCATAGAGTCTGCCATCTCCTGAAACCAATCAGGAGATAAAAGAGTGAAAACCTTTCCATCTCCTCACTCCTCCTCTCCATAGAGAACCCAGTGCTAGAAAAAGATTACTGAAGATCCCCAAAAGGATCATGTCTCACTGAAGATGCTTTTACTGAAAAAAAGCATGGAAAACCTACACCTTTTATAAATATGTAAAGTAAGGCTTCTTGTAACCTGTAGATATGGTTTATTTAGATATATAGATATGGTTTACTCTTGGTAGTGCTCCTTTCTTTTCCATTTTGTTGTAGTAAGACAAATGAGTTTTCTCTGCAAAGGCCTTTCTTCTTCCTCAAGTAAAATAGTTTAAGAGTAGTTATTGAATTATTGTTTCATGCTTACTAAGTTTGAAAAATTTGGCTTACTAAAGCCAAATTTGATTTTTTTTTTTAATTCCAGAAAAGTCAGAACAAGAAATCTCTAATATTTTTCAATGAACTATTCTAATACTGCGGATTTGTTCATTGTACACTCACATTCAGAAACATGCAGAGCTAGCTTCAAATCAATAGTGGTAAAAAAATTACTTTTTCAAAGTTTAGGTGAATCATTGCCTTCTGTATAATGGCAAAAGTCAGAAAAGAAACAAACAGGCAAATTCAAAAGAAACGTATTACTTTATGTATCTCCAGAGCACAAATTCTTATAGGAATAAGAAGCAACAGCAACCACAAATAAACAAGATTTCAAGATTCAAATAAACTGTTCAAATTATTACAATGCTAGACTGCAATAGTCAGTAATGTATAAGAAAAGAAAAGGTAAGAAGGCTTATGCCCTTGTGTAATTCTTAACCTTAAAGGAAGATAAATTCCTTTCATACTTCCAGTGCTTAAAAGACTGTTGATTTTGCATTAAAAATAAAAGAGAGAAAGGTTTTTCACTATTAAGCATTTTCTAGTATCTTCATAGGGAAAAAATTGCTTGAAATTGGATTAGGCCAGTAGCATCCTCACTGCAGGCAGCAAAAATTTATAGCTATGAATAACTTGACTAAATAGAGAAGAGGGATATCAGTTTTGTTGTTGGGAATTACAAATGTTATATGAGAAAAAGATCCAAGTACCTCCTATGTAAGATAAACAGTAAGGCATAATAAACTACATCTTAAGCCTGAGAAAACTTTATACCTATCAGTTTGCCTTTTAATATCATTGAAGAGAGAGATTTTCAGATTGTGCCTGTATCTTGAGCTTTTGGATTTCTTTCAGTGTACTACTACAGTGATGTCTACTGACATCACAACATCACAGAATCACAGAATCAAAGCTGGAAGAGACTTTCAGGATCATCTAGACCAACTGTCAACGTGGCACCAACATAATCGCCTCTAAACCACATCCCAGAGTGCCACATCCAGATACATCTTCAAGACTTATACAGACAGTGACATAGTTTACAAATTGGACTCGTAGGCAAAATAAAAAGAGAATCTTATTTTCTACAGTGCTCAGATAAAAATACAGGAAAATTAGAATAAATGGTGTTTTACATTCAGTCTTCAAGGTCTGAACTAGAGATAGGAATACAGAAGCACAGAATCACACAATGGGTCAGGTTGGAAGGGACCACAGTAGGCCATCTGGTCCAACCTCCCTGCTCAGGCAGGGTCATCCTAGAGCACGTGGCACAGGATTGCATCCAGATTGTTCTTGAATATCTTCAGTGAGGGAGACCCCACAGACTCTGTGGGCAACCTGTTCCTATGCTTGGCCACTTGCACATGCCGTTTAAGAACTGAGTTGAAAATCACGACTAAGACACTATACACAAAATATCAGAGAAAGTTCATTGCAAGGAAAAATGGCAGTGGGGATAGGCTGAAGTTCAAGGTTTTCAATATTAAGTTACAAACAACTAAATGTAACAACTCTTATATTCTTATTAAAATTTGGGGATTCATTCATTTCTTTTTCACTTACCACCATTGTTTCAGAGCAGACTTGGCCATGAGGTAATGCCTTTCGCCTCTCAAGGAAAAGATAATTCATGGGGTTGTATATTCTTTAAATTTTTTAGCAGACATAGAAGATCATAGTACACACTCAACTGTTTTGAGGGCTGTGGTATGAAGAACCAGCCAGGATTTCACTGCTGCCTCTCTTCTGTGCATGAGAGGCCCTGACAAATAAAGTTGGGTGTGTTAAAATATAATTTGCAATTCTCAGAGTCTAAATTGGACTGGGTGTCATTCCCCCATTCTCTACTTATCATTTTCCTTAAATCACAGGAAGTTTTTTTGAACTTACTATCACCACCAGTATCGCTTAATTCAGTTTATTTAAAATTACCATATTTTGGGTACTTTTGTTACCCAACCCTTTAAATTTTATTTAGATAGGTACAGGGATCATGATGAACTGCTAGTTTGTTTCAGATCTGCTTCTGTTCAAGTGGCAAGCCACTTTTAAGTGGTTTTAATCAAGAGTCCTATCACTCATAGGTACTTTGCAGAAGAATTCAGTGTTTTTTTCCCTGCCAGTTAAAATGCACATGCAACTGTCATATGAGACCTCTCATGTCTTTGTCCCATCACTGAGTACCATGTTAAATTTTTGGGCACAGGAAATATGTTTTCCTTCTATTTTCAGGTTCAGAGAACATACCAGATTTTTTTATTTCATAAAATATACAGATATCTGTTTTAAATTAGAAATTATTTTAGATCAAGATACAGCCTATGCATTTCATAGACTACTTTTGGTGATTCAATTTGGCAGATGTGATGAAGCTGAGTTAAGTCATACAACCAATCTGTGGTAACATTTAGAGCTTCATAAACTACAACACATACACCAGTAATTCCACCTGAAGAACTTAAAAAAAAAATCTATAATAAAATAACATCTACTTAAAATAGCAATAACAAAATAATCCCTTTCCAGATGTGGGTATTTACCCAGCTGTGATTTGCTGCTATATGAACCAAGGCCAAGGAGCAAAGGATTAGAGTAATGAGCTGTCATTTAGCTCAGTGAGGAACTGAATAGTACCCCTTTTTTTGTGAAATACGTGATAAAAGGCAAAAGACAAGGCATTGCTGAAATGACAGAGTGAATGCGTGGCTGTGATATTTCTGTGTGAATTGTATCTGTGACTTCTGAAGTCCAGTGCAGTAAGTGTTTGACTTGATAGTGCAATATACATACAATAAATCTGATGGTCCAGAAAGTGCAGGAATCCATGTTCTTGGAGACTTCACAGTGCTTCTGTCTGACAAGCCCAGGACAAGTGAGGTGCTGGCACACAGAAAGTTTGGAAGAGCACCCTTATAACAAAGGCTACATGAAAGTGTCAGCAAGCAGCCAGAAATCTTGGAAAGCAAGTGAAAAAAAAAGCTAATGGGGAAAATATTATTTGGTGAAAGACACTGCCAGGAAAATCAAGGTACATCACAGACAACTTATGTATGTAGTACAGAAAAATTGCATAGTGCTGCTGGCACTAATCACAGAGATGATGGTCACAGCCAGCAATGCTGGGAATGGTGGCAGTAATTAAGGAAATGACACAAGGAGCCCTGACATTAGGTAAAAGTGCCTACACAAGAAGTAACATAAGCCATCTGCAGTAGCCAGAGAAAGTAACACTCTTGTAATAAACTTTTCAAGTAACATCAAGAAAACAACATCTCATAGAGAAGATCAAAGTCAGCTGCTGATGTGTCTGCTATATTAGGAGTCATGACAATTGCATCTGGGTATGATGGCTGAGCAAGCACGTTTGCAACATCTAGTGACAATTACTTCAAGTTTTTGCTCAAACTTTATGGAGGCTTTCAGTTTTATAATATGATACAGGATCCTTCTTGTACACATGGGGACAAGTAATAAGAACATATTGATTTGGCTTTTTCTTCATCCTCAAACACAATTTGTAAACTAAATAAGGAGTTCAAGACTTGATCTATCATCAAGACCTGCCCTATCATCAAGACCTCAATAGTTTAAACATAAATTTAATTTTCACTGTTTATACTTCAGGGTTAACAATATGAAAGTTATCATCATGCACACACTTGCTAAAAAAAAAATCATACTGACAACTACAGATGGGGTGAGACAGTCATTGAGAACATAAATGGAATTGAACCAGTGTCACTGGCCTTTAATAAAATCTGTACCATCATTGTATTTGTGCAAATTAACTACTAAATTTCTCATAAATTGTCCATGAATTTTTTCTTCAGGTTTAAGAAAAAATGTTACACTTTTCTTACAACTCAGCAATACGCATTGGAGAACTGAAGGGAGACAGAAAAGTGATGAAAGAAAGCAGCTCCTTTCCATCACTCCTATAAATAATTTACAGATAATGTTTTACTTTCACAGTTACCTGTGCATTTCTTGATATTGCTATTTCTTTTTCCATGTGATCCTAACTTGCATCCAAAATTCTCTTCCCAAAATTCTGCAAACCAGACATTTCTTCGATTGTTAGCAAGTGTTCTGCTCCGAAAATATCTATCAAATCCTACATTGAAGAGAAGTGAAAGAAGCATTAAAATATTATACATATAAAAATAGCATAAAAATATAAATTTAAAGAAAATATCAGATTTTTTAATAAATATAAGAACAAGAAAAATCTTTAGACACAAACTATTTTATGAGCACAATAGCACCTAAGGATTAGATTTCATCTCAAGGCCACATAAAATCATGGGGTAGCTCTTTATTGAACAAGAGGATGTCCAGGACACCTATAATTTTGTTTCTATTTACATAGTTAATGACACCAGTTGAGAAACTAAAGATTCCTACTTAAACCTGATGATCACCAGCCTTACCCCTGCAATCCAGCTGTCATAATGAAATCATGATTAATGCATCCCATCTAGATTATCTCCTTACAAGTATTTCCCATGGCTAAATTCTCTATGTAACATCAATAGTGTTATATTTTCCTAATCAATTACCAGTTTAGCACACTTAGCCAAACACAGAGATGATACTATATCCAGTACCCTCACAGGAATAAGGTACTGAAAACCAACTCCCGCTTCATCCACAAAGTAAGAATCTTTTTTAATAAAGTAGCTTCTTAAAGTACATTTAGGAGTGGAAAGTGGGGCACAGATCAATCTCCTCCCCAGAGAATAATCTGATTCATTTTCATTCATCCAATACTTATTTGTCCCAAAGAATGACCAGGCTATGGTTAAGAAGCTCTCAACTCCAAGTGTCATTATTAGACCTCATTATTAGACAATTACAAGATTGGCTAATTGCAGATTCAGCATCTCCTCATCTCAACAGATATATTAAATTATTTTTTGATCAGGCCAACTCAGTTGGTTGGAAATATTTTCCTGAATTCCCTGTAATCAAGGACTACATGATTTTTTAATTCTTTTTAAAGAGACCTAAAGTACTTGAACTTTGACAGAAAATGAATGGTTTGTGCCACATGCATCCTTACCATCTATGGATGTTCTCTTGGGTAGAATGGTTACTGCTCCCTCTGCAATCTCCTCCTGCTGCTGGACTGGTGAAATTTTTGACCCCCAGCTGTCTGACCCAATCCAGAGGAAATGTCCAGACTGATTAGCTTTTTTAGCTGCTTCCAGTATTCTCCTGCAAACAAACAGTACATGATCAATTAAACAAATTCCATTTACAAAGAACTTGAGAGACCCAGAGTTTATTTTGGCTATGCATAAGCTTACAATAATTAATTAATCTATAGTTTTCACAGTCTAAGGCATATTCAACAATAGCTGTAATGAACTCAAGATACAGTAGTATACAAGTTACTTCATTTTATCTTTAGCCATATTTTTCTAGCATTCTTATTGGTTTCTTCCTTTTCAGTTGCCAAATAACTAGCTATTGGCACTGCACTCCTAGGATCTAGGAAAAGTCTGGAACTATACAGAATAAAGGACCAGCCCACTCTATAATTACAATTCAATTTCTTATCAAATTTTCAATAATTTTTACATAAGATTGAATCTGAAACTTCTTAGTCTATTTTTCACCAGCCAATCAAGCGTCTTTGTGAAAAGGAACATCTTCAAAACACAAAATTAGGAAACAAGCACCTAATATCATCTTCATTCGCAAACATGATCACTGCTCGAGCATTTGGAGTTTCCAACAAGCGCTTAATGATCTTTTCAAATTCTCCTGGCCTTGGTTCCCGAGGGATTTTGAGTGACTGAGCAATGCAAACACCTCCTAGGAAAAATTAAAAGGATAAAAAAAAGAATTTTAACACAGTAAATATCCACACTTCAAATAATTCTTAGCTAACCAGGCAAGCAGACAAGGCAAGGTGCTAATCTGAGATACAAGAGCACAGCCAAAAGTAACGTAATATGTGTGTTTCGAAACATGCTTTGTACAGGCTAACACACTCGAGGTGTTAAAGAGTATAACGCAATTACCTCTTACTTTATATTTTAAGTACATTTTTAAACAACGTTCTGAGGTCTGTTGTCAAGCACCACACTCTGGCTCAGCTGGACCAAGCTCCCCAGACCTACCTCATCTATGGCAACTGAGAACCCAGCCTTGCCACAGCCCTGCATGGAGCCATGGAACCTCAGTTTCACAGTTACCTCATGTTCAGGATGTGGCTCTTTGGGATCAGGCGCTGTCACACACCTCTGCTTTGTCAGCAGAGAGCATGTCGCAGAGAATATATACAGATCACTTTTAATTGCTATTATGACATTCTTAAATGAGTTGTCTTAATTACTTAAGAAGCTGTCATTGAATATTCTAAATTACTAATCAGCAAATGAACACATACTCAGAGATTATATTTATATTTCTTCCTGACAGAGGGTGCTGATTGAAATCTTTGCATTTTACCTGTCAAGTAAAAAGGGCTGATTTCTACAGAAACTTAGTGATTTCTTATAGCTTTCATAGACCAGTTCAGGGGAATCTCTACTCTCCAATAACAACACTGTGTTTTAGCATGCAAGAGAAAAATTTCTTGAGCCTGTTTTGGGGCTCACTGAGTCCATATTGCTATCAGTTTCCAATACCATAGGTGATCTTTCTGATTGTTTACTGATTTTCTTATTTTAATTATTTTTTCTCTAAGAACTATTGCCTGATTCTCATTGCTACATCTAACATCCACCAATTATTGTTCTTGATTTTTTTTATTCCAACCATAAGAGCCTATTGAGGGGAATCTAATCATTAATATACCCAGAAAATTTTAAAAAATGAGAAAAAAATTAGCTCAGACCAAAAGAGGCAAGTTACTAGACAAACACAAGGAAATTGTACATTTTGTATCCCTACATCTAAATACTTCTACACTGAAATAGTTTTCAGTGTGAATAAGAATGTGTTTTAAAAGAGATGTTCTATTTTTAATGAGTTTTAAAAGAGGTACTCTATTTTTAATGAATGCTGGTATTTATCTTCCAATGTATAAGATCATTTGAGACATGTACATTTCTTTGCATTAAATGCAGTTAGTCACAGTTAGATGGCTGTGTTGTGTATGGGGAGGCTTTCCAACTGTGTTTTGTATAGTGAGGCTTTCCAACTTTCTCATCCATTTTATTCCTTCTATCAAAATGTTAGAATTCTGTTTTTCAAAAGTACTTCACAAATTAGGTTGATGAACACCTTCCGTGGTAGGATTTGAACAAACACAAGGGTCCAGTCAGGAGAAACTTGGCATGTAGATTAACATGAAGGTGTTACCAAGTTCCCTTGTGTAAGCTTTCTTAAGATTAATGTATTTAATCCTTAAGAAAAAAAAAAAAAAAACCAAAAAAAAAAAAACCAAAAACCAAAAAAACACACCAAAATAAAGGTATGTCTGAAGGTATTTTTCTTATTTTATTCAAAAAATGAGTAGGAATGGTTCAAAACGGTCCCAAATCTGTCAATGATTAGGAGGCACTAAGACAATGCACTTTATGACCTGCTTTAACTTTTTGTTCAGCCTTGATTTGTTCAGGCAGTTGGACTACATGATCATCATAGGTCCCTTCCAACTGAAATTTCTATTCTATTCTATTCTATTCTATTCTATTCTATTCTATTCTATTCTATTCTATTCTATGTAATATTTTTAAAATGCTGGGAATTCATTATCAGATTTTGTGCTGCCTTTGCAGAATCTCATTGACTTCAATAGCTCTCTGAAGAGGCAAATCCTAAGTTTGAATCAAGTTTAGACATGGCATAAATGAAGCATAGAGCTATCAACTGCCAGTGTAAAAACAACATCTTTCAAATTATATCACCCAGTTTGAGTCACAGGTAAGCATATCACCTTTTTCAGTTATGCATCAATTACTTGAGATGTTACATTATTATTTTATTCAATTGAGAAATTAATTATACAGTACAGGCTTTTCCTGAATTCTTCTCTGCTTTACATGAAATAAATAAGATTTGCAAATCAGAATACCTGCCATTTCTAACAAAAATTTTTTGTATATAGGTCCTTACCATCCATAAATAGCTCAACAATATAACATAAATAATTTACTCTTATGTGCTATAAAATGGAACACAGAACCTTTTTATGGCAACAGATTTTTTCACATTTTTACAAATATCCTGTCTCCCCATGATGGAAAATTCATTTGCCAATAACAAATAAGCCTTTATAGCAAATGATCCTTATATTTACCAGGTATTTTTTAAAATCTAGTAACGAAAAGATGGACACTTTACTGTGAAAAGCTTTAACTAATTATCTAAGCTATTAGGCTATTTGCAATAGACACTTCAAAGTCCTTTCTTTCTTAAGTACCAGGGCTGAAATGTAAAAGAAATATTTAGCAGATATCCTGTAAATTTAACAATCAGCAATTCACTGTTAAAAAAAGAAATGCTCAAAAAAAAAAAAAAATTGCAAAGCTCATAGCTGTCCCCAAAGTCATTCAGCACCAAAAGTAAAACAGATCCTAAAAATGATATAAAGGAATATTTTGTTACCTCATACATTTTGTAAGTGCATTTTCCAACTACTTCTATTCATGCAATGGCCCTTAAGGAAAAAAAGTCATTCTACCCACATAAAAATCAAATGCAAATATTACAAAATGCATATATATAATAAACTATGTACATCCATCTGCAATTTTTGTGAAATGGATATCAAGCAATGAAGAACTGCAGTATCTAAAAACGCTGTTTTCAGTGAAAATAGTGTAGAAGAAACATCATTCCATCATTGCAGCAGCAAGTTCAGTCATGACTGTACTGTGCATCTTGGCATCTCTGCATTGAAGAATGTGTTAAGTACTACCAGGAACAAAATAAAATGCACTTCAGCCTTGTTGCTACATTTATAATTAATTGGGTAGGCTATCTCCAACTCACAAAACACTTTGTATACATCCTTACCTATATATTGCATATACAACTGTTGCTCAAAAAAAATAACAGGATATCAATTTTCAGTTAATAATGAATTGCGGGAACCACAAAGGTATTCACAACATTACAGTGTTGAACTTCTTGGCACCCTCCTGCCTTTGAAATCTACAGCCTGGGCTAAGTGCCCAGACACAGAGAGAGATAAGCCTAGGAAAAGGATTCCCATGAGCCAGCAAACTAAATAAGGAATAATTATTCCTCCAAAATAGGTTGCAGAGGTACTAAAAGGACAAGTTTAAGGCCAGTAGTTAGGATTAATCTCAGGAAGTGTGAACAAAAGAGAGATTTCCCCAAATCAAGAATAAATAGGGCTTGAGAACAGATGTCTCATACGTGATGCCAATGGATTTACCACTTGCTGCAGAGATGCCAAAGGGCAGATGGTTCAGACATCTAAGGTCTCAAGAGACTGTGTGGCTCTGAATTATAAGAACAAATTGTATTTCACTCCATCAGCATTTCTAACTGACTTGGCATGAAGACTGCTTGTCTCTGTTGCTGGTTTCTAAGATCCTTCATTGTCTGGGGATGTACTTTAAAACAAAAAAAATGCATTGGTCTAAATCTCCCTTGGCTAAAATGATGATAAATATAGCATTTGTGTAAGGAAATGAGAGCTAACTTTCTTCTTACTGAAAAGAAAATTATATGTTTAAGCCCCATCAATTAAAAGGACCTATGATGAGGCTTCAGAGAGTGCTGCACTAAAGTTATTGAGGTAAAGAAGGGAGAGAGCCAGACAGACTAATTTCAGGTAGCTACTACAAACAGGCATCAGTAATTGTAGCCACTGCTACAATATCCATTTCGTAATTAATATATGACACAGGAGATGAAATTAACACTTTGAATCCATCACACATTTCAAAGACATTAAGAGGGCACTGAAGGAAAGTAGCTCTTTGGCTACTGCGGAGGAAAATAAAGTCTTACCAACAAATTCTGCTAACCCTCTTTCACCTGTTTTCAGATTTGTAAAGCCAAGGTTGTCCTCAGTCAGCTCCGAGCTTGATTGGAGGAATAAAACAGTCAATATGAACTACCTTGTGTCAGTGCTGACAAGAATCCATTTGTCTTCTGTCCAGCAGCTATTAAGTGCCATACCCAGCACCTGGGGCAAGGGGATGATAAAGAGGAGAGCGGAGGTGGGAGCTGGAAATCAGGCTTAAGGCAGGAACTGCCTTATTCCTGATAAGGGGCTCAGTCCAGCCCCTCCACACCGTGGTTACAGCGGGGAATTCATGTGCTTTTAAAAACAGAGACATAACCAGACTTGGTCTACAACAACACATTTTTATCTATGTTGAGATAAAAATCACATATTTAAAAAATTGTTCCAGGCTAGGCTTGCTTTGCTTGCAGGTAGTCTGTATCATACAACTTGTGGGAACACAAGTTATCACTAAACAAACAAACATAACAAAAAACAAACAAACATAACAAAAACACAAACAAAACAAAACAAAAGCGACATTTTTGAATATATTGCCAGTACAGTGGATAAATAACCCCTTTTTTACAGTCTCACAACAATGTGACAAATGGAAAAAATATGGATAGATAGTACCCACATAATTTTAGTAGGCAAACATAATCATTTTAATAATAATAAATGCTGATGTTTGCCTGTGTGAGTTTTGAAGTCACGAGATGCCATGCTGACTATATGAGCTTATGTGTCAGAAGATATTGAAAGTGTATTTGGAAAACAGCAAGCATACTTGGTAGAAAACATGCACAAACAAATTAGTTTCCTGAAAAAAAGACTGAATGTGAAGCTCAATGCAAATAACAAGGTTGAATTTTCTCCCACC